CTCATTCACTTACTCATTCACTCACTCAATCACTCACTCAATCACTCACTCACTTATTTACTCACTTTCTCACGATGACGATTGTTAGATTGTTATTTAAACTTTCCTGTCACAGAGGCTGTACACCACACCAAACCACGCCACACCACACAACGTCACGCCACACCACACAACAACACGCCACACCACACCACAAGATGCACATACACATGACGTCTTTGAGTTTGGACACACAGTATTCGAACCAATCGATTGAATTCTAATTCATTAATTCTATACTAGATTGTTATTTAAACTTTCCTGTCACAAAGGCTGTACACCACACAACAACACGCCACACCACACGACACCACACCACAAGGTGTACATACACAAGACGTCTTTGAGTTTGGACAGACAGTATTCGAACCATGCCACCGCGCAATAGCAGCGTAAGACGTGGCGCTTCTACCGACTGAGCTAACTTGGTTTTGTTACTGTTTTTGTTAATAGCGTTTGGATTTTTTAAATTATTTTTTATCGCTTGTTGGCCAGTCAGTTTAGCAAATATTTTAAAAAAAATTTGATTGAATTCTAATTCATTAATTCATATTTATTAATTTGAAAAATGAATAATAATTTAGATATAAATAGTAATATAAGTTATTATTATTTTATTATAATATAATTATTTTTAGATTTTATTTTATTTAGCGAAAAATTCACTTCAATGTTTAGAAAATTTACTCAATAACCATAATTTGAAGTTGTTTGTACCTGAAACCTCTTGCTAGCTTAAATAGTTTTTGGGAACCCCTCCAAATATTGCATGGTGATGGGGCGTTCTTTCTATCATTAACTGTTGTTGTTGTTTTAGTTGTTGTTTATGTTGTTTTTGTTTTGGTTGATGTTGATGTTGTTATTGTTGATATTGTTGGAGTTGTTGTTGTCTTCGGTGATGGGACGTTCTTTTCTATCATTAACTGTTGTTGTTGGATGTTGTTGTTGATGATGTTGTTGTTGATGATGATCTCACCAGGCCATACAACACCACACCACACGACGCACATACACGACCACATACGCATATCGTATGCGCGCGCAAGCATCATAATACGCGCGTATGTTGATCTTTGAGTTCGAGACAGACAGTGTTCGAACCATGCCACCGCGCAATAGCAGCGTAAGACGTGGCGCTTCTACCGACTGAGCTAACTTGATTTTGTTACTGTTTTTGTAAGTAGCGTTTGGATTTCTTAAATTTTTTCCTATCGCTTGTTGGCCAGTGAGTTTAGCAAATATTTTAAAATAAATTCGATTGAATTCTAATTCATTAATTCATATTTATTAATTTAAACAATAATAATAGTTCTGATAACAATAATAGTATTAATTATTATTTTATTATAGTTTAATTATTTTTATAATTTATTTTATTTAGCGAAAAATTCACTTCAATGTTTAGAGAATTCACTCAATAACCAAAATTTGAAACTTTGTTTGTATGTAGAAGTGTTTAGCTTACACCGGTATATAGTTTTTGGAGCCCCTCCAAATTTAACATTGGTGATGGGTCGTTCTTTTCTATCATAAACTGTTGTTGTTGTTGTTGTTGTTACTGATGTTGTTGTTGTTGTTGTTGGATGTTGGAGTTGTTGATGTTGTTGATGATGATCTCCCCAAGCCATACCACACCACGCCACACCACACCAAGCCACACCACACGACGCACATATACATCGTCGTGTGGTGTGGTGTCGTGTGGCCTGGTGTGGCCTGGTGTGGCCCGGTGTAGCGTGCGTATTATGATGCACGCGCAAGCGTGGCATCATAATACACGCGTATGTTGCTCTTTGAGCTTGGAACAGACAGTATTCGAACCATGCCAACGCGCAATAGCAGCGCTTCTAACGACTGAGCTAACTTGGTTTTGTTACTGTTTTTGTTAGTAGCGTTTGGATTTCTTAAATTATTTTCTATCGCTTGTTGGCCAGTCAGTTTAGCAAATATTTTAAGTAAACTCGATTGAATTCTAATTCATTAATTCATATTTATTAATTTAAAAATGAATAATAATTCTGATAACAAAAATAATATTAATTATTATTATTATTTTATAGTTTAATTATTTTTATATTTTATTTTATTTAGCGAAAAATTCACTTCAATGTTTACAGAATTTACTCAATAACCAATATTTGAAGTTGTATGAAGCTGAAATATCACAGTACTTTATATCGTTTTTGGAACCCCTCCAAGTATTGCATTGGTGATGGGGCGTTCTTTTCTATCATTAACTGTTGTTGTTGATGTTGTTGTTGATGTTGTTGTTGTTGATGTTGTTGATGTTGGAATTGTTGTTGTTTTTGTCTTTGGTAATGTGGCGTTCTTTTCTGTTATTGACTGTTGTTGTTATTGATGATATTGTTGATGTTGTTGTTGTTGATGTTGGAGTTGTTGTCGCTATAATGTTCGTATTATTATTGGTTACTTATTTATCATCATCATCATCATCATCGCCATCATCATTATCATCATCGTCTTCTTTCTTTTTTCTCGTGTCCTATCCTTCCAGGACATTGACGACCATCTTTAAATGTTTAGGGATCACTTAAGCAAGATTATGCCGCAAAATAACTCAATCTCTCACTCACTCATTCACTCACTCACTCACTCTTTCACTCACTCACTCACTCAATCACTCACTCACTCACTCAAGAAGAAGATGAAGATGATGATGGTGGTGATGATGATGATGACGACGACAACGACGATGACTATAGTATGCTTAAAGCAGGCAGTCGCAGATTAGATTTGTCTTAATGGTATTTGTTGTCACCATCTGCAATTTCACTTGTGCAGGCACCACCACCATCATTTCATCATCCTCATCTTCTTTGTTGTTATTATTATTATTATTATTATTATTATTATTATTATTATTATTGTCATTTTTATTTTTTTTCAATTTTTTTATGTCATTGTCACATGCAGTAGCGAAAATCATTTGTGTGAATTTAATTGAATGATCTGAATAGTTGCTAAGCAACATAACAGCCTTGGTGAGAAATGTGCGTGTGTGTGCGTGTGCGTGTGTGTTTATGTGTGTGTGTGTGTCTGTGTGTGTTTAGGTGGGTGTTGGTGTATGTGAGCTTCTTCGTTTTTTTAAATGCGTGCGTATGTCTGTGTGTGTTTATCTGTGTGGTGTGTGTGTTTGTTTTTGTTCTTTGGTGTGTGTGTGTGTGTGTGTGGGTGTGGGTGTGTGTGGGTGGGTAGGATGTTAAAAATCAACAAAATGTAATATCTCTATCTGTCAGATAATCTTTATATTTTCAAAAATATTTTTAAAAATAAAATTTTATATAAAAAAAAAAATAATAATTATAAATTGCTCCTAGATAAACCAACTCAAAAGCGATGTATGTATATATATATATATATATATATATATATATATATATATATATATATATATATAAGTTTAGAAGAAATACTTAAATTCATATGTGTGTGTGTATATATATATATATGTATGTGTGTGTGTGTGTGTGTGTGTGTGTGTGTGTGTGTGTGTGTGTGTGTGTGTGTGTGTGTGTGTGTGTAAAAGTGTGGTTTGTGCGGGTCTACTATATAGTTGTGTGTGTTTTTGCTTATATGTGTGTGTTTGTCTTACGGTGATTTTTGCGTCTATCAAACATTTCAAAAGATATTTTCCTGGACGAAGTTTTTAAAAAAGTTGAAGAAAATCTTTTGGAGATAAAAGTTGGATGATGATAAAATTGAAAAAATGAGTTTGATATCTTTGTGTGAACGTTTCGAGTGCTTGCATTTGTTAACTTTTGTGGCGTAGAATTGTATTTTAAATTTTAATTTTGTTTGTTTGTTCGTTCGTTTGTTGTTCGTTTGTTTGTTTGTTCGTTCGTTTTTTTGTTTTTTATTTGTCTGTTTAATTTTTTTATGTTTTCTCATTCATTCATTCATTTATCCGTCAACTCGTCCATCTATTTTTTTGTCATTCAGTTATTACTTCTTTCGTCTGTTATTCGTTCATTGAACTTATTCATTCGTTCATTCATTCATTCAGTCAGTCATTCAATCAGTCCCTTGTACATTCATTCATTCAATTAATCACGTATTTATTTCTACTGCATTCTGTTATTTGTGAAAAATTGCTTACAAACCGACAAACCAACAAACAAACAAACATAACTGACAAACAAGCAAACAAATAAATAAACCAACAAACAAACAAACATAGCTGACAAACAAGTAAACTAATAAACAAACAAACATTTATACAATTGCTTGCTTATTTGTTAAATTTTTTATACATGTTTTTTTTATTTATCTGTATGTTTATACCTTGCGTACAAGCGTTCCCTAGAGGAAAATTTATATTAGAGCAACACACGCATGCACACATTCTCTCTCACACACATACACACATCCATAAATACGTACACATACACAGACACGCGTTCATACACACACACACACATATACACACACATGTACATACATGATTTGCTCACAAAAAATTACATTTATCAAGTTTCATGCCAACAAAGAAGCAAGTTATACATACATTTATAAAAACATGCTTGCATACATTCGTACATACAAGCAAACAAACAACCATACATACACATACATACAGAAATACATACATAAAAACTCACACACACACACACATATATATATAATACATACATGCAATCAAAAACTCATTTTTAACGAAGAAAAATATAATTGGTTTGCATGAGCTCATGCGATTTGTCTCTATGAAATATTATTTGCTTCATTTTACTGCGTTATTTGGCAACACGCAAACATACATACATACACACGCATACACACACTAATACAAACATACGCATACCAACACATTCACACACACACACACAAACAAACACACATACAGTTATCGTTCTTTTAATTAATCTGTCTATAGGCATCAATTTGCTTAAGCTAATAAAACTTTTGTCTCTCTCTATACATAAAATACAATACCCCAATAGCAAATGAGGTGTGTATTGCATGCACAGCACATACAAAGAACTTTGTATATATACAAAACAAATGTATGTATGTTGCATGTGTATGGCGTGGTTTTCTCTGAGGTGTCAGCGTGTATGTGGAAACGTGATCCAAGTTAACACACATCGCGTTGGATAGGTGTGTATACGCACGTGTGTCTGTATGTTTGCGCACGCGCGCGTGTGTGTATTTGTATGATAATCTAGACTTGAATTAAACCAAAAAAGCCTAAGCGAATAACCACACGAAACAATTTTAACCTTAAAAATTTCCAATACAAATTCTTCAGAGGTTTGTTTCACTGTTGAATGACATTTTTTCATTGAACGGGATATCTGTTTGTGGGTTTGTGTGCGTTTGTGCACGCGTGTGTGAGCGTGTGTACGTGTTTGTGTGTACGTTACGTATGAGAGTAATATAACAAGAGCAGTGATGTTAACGATACACTCGCTACTACTTAGTTATTGCGGGTTGCGCGCTATAAAATTTCGCTCACAATCATTCTTATATCTATGCAAGTTCTTCATTTTTTATAACTGTTTAACATTACTTTGATGGTCAAATTTTTTCCATTTTCTAGAGAGAACAGTTTAAAAATTTCATTTGGTTAGCGCCATGTCTTTAGTTTGTTACTGTTTTGGCAGGAAAATGTTAAATTTTCGCGGGAAAATGTTAAATTTGCCTACTAATCTGACGGGAAATGTTTGATTTTTTTAATCGGCTTGGCGGGAAAAGCCTGGTAATTGTTTTATGGTTTATGGCTGACAAGGAGTTTGAATTCAATCGATCGTTTGATGCGATTGTGTTGATGCTATTTTTGTTGTTGTTGTTGATGTTGCTGATGTTGTTGTTGATGTTGTTGTTGCTGTTACAGTCTTGTGTAGAAAAAAAATTATTAAACAGAATTATAACAAACTCCATTAAATCAACAGTTTTGTACATAGGACATGGGCGAAAAGTTAAATTTATAAAAATATAAATTATTTGATCAGAATTTGATTGAATTTTACAGAAGATAATTTATAAGCGCCACCATCAAGTTGTCTTCAGAATCACTATGTTTTTTACATTTTGTTGAAAAAATGACTGATTTGATTCTCAAACAAAAACTCAATGTTCCAACAATGGCATGTTTAAACTGCTGTAAAATTCTTTTTGCGTTCTGTCGGTTCCAAAGCTGATGGATTCTGGGTGACAGGTTGGCGTGAAGTTTTGTGACAAATTGTTTTAACTATTTCTAGATGGGTGAATATTAAAAAAATTGTGTTGTTGCATAGTCGATTAAGTTATGAGGAGTGTTTGACCTTCAACTTAAAACATTCTAAAAAGACAGATGGCAAAAAGTTGTTGAATTATGACAGGAATGTCAAAGAGAGATCTAATAGTCAACTGTTTGATGGTTAATATGCTAAACTTAGAAGACATCTGATAAATACGAGATATAGAGTTGATGTTGATGTTTTGTCATTGTTGTTGATGTTGTTGTTGGTGTTGTTGTTAATATTGATGTTGTCGTTAACAACATCAACAATAACGAACATCGAATTAGTGTTTGATTTTTATTCAGGTTATCTAAAGAAAATGGTAGAACAACAACAACAACAACAACATTTTTTCATTTTTCTATCTTTCCTCCTTAAGAAAATTTATTACAGGCGGGCAATAATTAATCATGATTTTTTTTGCTTCAAGCTTTTGAAACTTTTGAAGGAAAAAAAGAAAAAGAGTTCATTTTTGACGATTATAAATGTTTAATTTATGACACCGCGAAATGTAATTTATGATTTGGTGTGATTTATTATTGTTATTGCTGTTGATGTTATTATTATTATTTTTATTGTTATCATTATCAGGACTGCTGCTGCTGTTCGGGGCATTTCTGGCCTACGAGACGAGGAAGGTCACAGTACCCGCTCTTAACGATTCAAAGTTCATAGGTCAGGTCACGGGATGGTGGTGCGACTGCTGTGTTGCTGCAGCGACTGCCGTGGCTGCCGCCGCTAATAATGATGATGGCAATGATGATGATAATGAGGATGGCAATGATGAAATGAATGACGTCATCAGTGACGACGACGATGGTATAAGTTGATTAAAATGAAAAATGTTTAGCTTACGATAAGAGGTAGGTGGAGTTAATGGTACTAATAACTCAGTGATTGTCAACGCATGTCCGCTATTAAAATTCGTTCTGAAATTTTTCATTGATGGATGATCGTTGCAACACTGAAATCCTTTGAGAGAGAGAGAAATAGAGAGAGAGAGAAAGAGAAAAAGAAAAAATAGGGAATGAGAAAGGAAGAGAAAAAGATTGAAAATTAGAAAAACAGTAGAAAAAACAGTGAGAGAGAGAGAGAGAGAGAGGAAGAATGCGGACGTTAACATTAAATCAGCGAGACAACGTGCAAATTTAAATATCACATGATAAGGCCGTGCTTGACCTTTCCAGTGACCTTGAACCTTGGAAGGTCAATCCGAAAGGTCATTCGTGACGTCACTGCCTGCGAAGTTTTATAGCTATTTTGGGTGTATTGGGTTCGAGAAATTTATTTTGCATTTGTTGCCGTGTGCGTGATTTTTGATTTTTGCCAGACATAAACACACACACACACACACAGAAACATGCAAACACAAACATACAAACACGTACACAAACATACAAACACGTTACACAAACATACATATACACATACAAAAATACAAAACACTTCCAGGTATTAGCGTATACAACGTAATGGTATTATGTCTGATCGGAGTCCCAACGGCCATCATGATTAAGGACCAATTAGATGCAGCCTACCTTCTCAAATCGCTCTTTACATTCTTCGCCACCATGCTGACAATCTGTCTGGTGTTCATACCAAAGGTAGTTTTATATAATTATTATTATTGTTGTTGTTGTTGATGTTGTTGTTGATGTTGTTGTTGTAATGTCGTTGTCGTCGTTGTTGTTGTCGATGTTGTTGACGTTGTTGTTGTTGTTGACGTTGTTGTTGATGTTGTTGACGTTGTTGTAGATGTTGTTGTTGTTGTTGTTGATGTTGTTGACGTTGTTGTTGTTGTTGTTAATGTTACTTATTGTTATCATCATCATTACAATCGTCTCAGACGTTGAAAAAGAATCGCGAACCACAAACGCGATCGATGTGGTTGAAGGCAAAAGCAGCCGCTAAAGCTGCGTCCTTGGCTTCAAACGCAACGGCCGCAAATGACGTCACAAAGTTGACGAGTCAACAGTCGCATCAGCTGATACATTTGAATCTAGCCAACGACGACGTAATCAACAACAACAACAACAATAATAATAACAGTAGAAATGGAAATAACAACAACAACAGCAACAATAACAACAACAGCAACAGCAATGATGTTGATTATCACCATTATTGTTGCAACAACAACGTGGGTGTTGAACAATTGCTTGAGGAGAATTCCAGGCTGAAGGAAGCTTTGAAGAAGGTTCGTGCATAGATGGATGGATGGATGGATGGATGGATGGATGGATGGATGGATTAATGGATGAATTGATAGATGGATGGATTGATGGATGGATGGATGGATAGATGGATGAATTGATGGATGAATTGGTGGATGAATTGATGGATATAAAAAACAGGAGGATGAATGAACAAATCAACCGACAAATAAATAATACCACACCACACCACACCACCATAAAACAGTACCGACGAATACTCGGCGACAAGGATTATGACGTCACGGCGTTTGGCGGAGATGTACCCTCCCCCCAAACTCAGTCGGAAGATATCGGTAGCGCTTTCGTCTACATGTCCAATTCCATGCCGGCCCTGAAAAATGACAGGATTTATTTGTAGCGATCTCCCAACCTTGAGAGAGAAATGAAAATGATGATGACGATGATGATGATGATGATGATGTTGGTGATGATAATGGTGATGATGATGTTGATGATGATAATGATGTTGGTGATGATAATGTTGTTGGTGATGATGATGATAATGGTGATGATGATGTTAGTGATAATGATGATGTTGGTGATGATGATGATGTTGGAGATGACGATGATGATGTTGTTGATGATGATGATGTTGGTGGTAATGATTACGATGATGATGGTGATGATGAAAGTTTTAATGAGTACTAGAATTGAAATTATATAAAATCTATAATGTTTTTTTTTAATTAATTTTATAACTATTTACACAATAATTACGTTATAGTTATAACAAATTATGATGGTGATGATTGATGATGATGATAATAATAACAACAATAATAAAACAATAATAATAATAATGAAAACAGTTTACAAAATTCTTTTTTTTTCATAAACTTCTTCGGAAAAAAAAACATAATTTAAATGGCCAATGATTTATTTGTGCGCGAAGAAATCGCCATACACACACCACACACACACACAACACACACACAATACACACACAAACACATAAAAACACACATCTACATGTATATATGTAGGCCTATAAACCTGGATATATCGAAGTCCGCGATTTCGGCTATCAAGCCGTGAGTTTCGTTATAAACGATGAAGTAGAACGAAAATCAATGATAGATTTCGTTGAAAATTCGATATACCATCATTGCCGGCTGTATTAGAACTTGAATAGTCATTATGGTTTGTTTCGAATTTGATGATTCAAATGATTATTCGTTAAGAAATCATTTTCATAGCTACAGACGAAATGGTAGTTTCGCTTTCGTGTTAGTGACACCGTTTAAAAATTCAAAAGAATCGGTTTTGCCGGTTATACGTAGACCGGCCGGTATTTGTATATTCGATACTTTTTAGAATCGCTAACGGTCTTGGCGATAGAGTTACACACATACCACATACACACATACACATACCACGCATGTATATATACTTCATTCATTCATTCTTTCATTCGTTCGTTCATTCATTCATCCATTCATTTATTCAGTCGTTCATTCCAAAATTTTATCAATAATTTGCATGTATTCATTCAGCCGTTATATTTATTATTCTTATATATGTCTACGTCTTAGAGAGTAAAAAATAATTGTGTCACGTACACACACACACACACCACACACACACACACACACAAGCACACAGCAACACACACAGACAAACAACAACAAAAACAAATGAGTTTCAATTTCAATTGGAGAAGAGATTTTTTAATGAAAGCACAAAAATCATTCCCAACGTATCGGTTGCAAAAATGGCTTCAGAAAGAAAATAATATATATAAATATATATACATATATATATATATAATTATATTTAAATTATGATTCAGCAAAAAATATATGGCAAATTAAATATAAAATACGAAAAAAATCAAATGTTGAAGAAATATGTTCAAGAGAAATTAACACGATTGTTTAGTTTCCATTTTGGCAGTTTAGATAGCGTATATTAAGTAAGTCTCTCGCTATGCAGCAACCGGGTTTGAATGCGACGAGATTTCTGGCATGATTGTGGAAAGTTCGATATCGCAAAGCGCCACATAAATGGAACCTTGATATTAGTTTTTTTTTAATTATTATTTTCATAATCAAAAAACCAAACAGCATTCATATGAACAATACAATCTCCATCAGCAACAAAGACAAAATCAATCGTCTCTATCATCATCATCATCATCATCATCATCATCATTGACCGCAATTGCCACAGCCACGCCACAACAGCCACTGTCGCCACAAGAACCACGACGACCGCTAAAGTTCAGCAGAGCAGGAAAAGCAATCAACTTAAGAGCGAACTCACGTTTTAAAATCATTAGTCATACCAACTATTACATGAGGAACGTGTCACGCACACACACACACACACACACACACACACACACACACACACACACACACACACACACACACACACACACACGTGCATACACATATATACACGCACACGAAAATACATACGAAAATACACCGCAGAGAGAGAGAGAGAGAGAGAAGAAAGAAAAGAGTGAAAGAGAGGAAGAAAAGTAGAAAAAGTATTTAAGAAAAATTAAAATTTAAAAATATAAAAGGAAAGGATAGAGAGAAGAATCATGAAGAGGAAAAGAAATGAAAAGTGAGAGAGAGAAAGAGAGAGAGAGACATAGAGAGAAAGAGAGAAAAAGAGAAAGAACGAGAGAGAAAGAGAGAATGCAAATGAAACACTTGAAAACTTCTGAATACCCGCCTACCCAATGAGATGTTGCGTTTTAATTGCAGGAAGGAGGAAAAAAATGACGCAAAAAATGAAAGCAAAATATTATCTAAAGACTTCATAATTTCATAATTTCAAACACGGTAAGTAATAATATAATAAAATTAATATTTTTAAGAATAATATTTTTTATAGATAATATAATAAAATTAATATTTTTTAGAATAATTTTTTTTAAATAATATAATAATATAATAAAATTAATATTTATAAGAATAATATTTTTTAAAAATAATATAATAAAAAAAATATTTTTAAGAATAATGACAATAATAACTATAACAACAACAACAACAACAACAATAATAACTATAACAACAACAACAATAATATTAATAACAATTATAATAAATAGAACAACAACGTGTTTACGACGTTGCCAAATAATAAGTTAGTATTAAAATCTGGCGACATTGAAATGAGTATTGAAGTATTAAAAAAGAGTAATTAGATGAAAGTGAATAAAAATTGCATCTTCTCATCATCAAACTCCTTCCCACCATCCTCATCATCGTCTTCATCCTCATCATCGTCTTCATCCTCATCTTTAACCTCATCATCACTATAATCATTCTCATTATCACCATCTTCATCCTCATCATCATAGCGAAGATTTTGAAAGCGCTGATGACGTCATGGACGGCCGATCTTGTGACGTCACCAGCGGCGTATCACCTGGCGTCTCCGACGACCCAAGCCACTGGAGAATGAGCTGATGGGCTATGGCCTGTGGCGGGGGCAGGGTGAGGCACTCCGGGTGCGTGCCATCCAACATCTGCTTGACCTCAGAGGTCTGAAACCAACGGGCCTCCGCCAGTTCTGATTCGTCGATCTGATTGTGACATAATGATGATGGTGATGATGATGATAATGATGGTGATGATGATGATAAGGATGGTGATGATGATGACGAAGATGATAAGGATGGTGATAATGATGACGAAGATGATGATGATGATCTGAGTGTGACGTTTTGATGGTGACGTTGTGATGATAGTGGTGATGGTTGGTTGTGAATTTGCTGCTGCGGCTGCTATCATAATCATCATCATCCTCATCATCATCATCAGTCTTATTACTACAATTATAATTATCATCATCATCATCGTCGTCATCATCATCATCATCATTACTATAAATGTTATCACGACGATGATGATGATGATGACGACGTGAGCAACAGAAGATAAAAAAAATGGAAAACCCCAGAGGAACTGACCACAATGTCGCTGTCGATGGCCCTCCCAATACAGCCAATCATGAGAGTGCTGGGCATCGGCCAGGGCTGGCTCGAATGGTAGCTGACCTCACCTACGTTCACCCTGGTCTCCTCAAACACCTCCCTTCTGCAGGCCTCTTCAATGCTTTCTCCTATGTGTCGTGATAAGCGTGCGTGTGTGTACGTGTGCGTGTGTGTGTACGTGTGCGTGTGTTTGTACGTGTGAATATCTTTCTGTATTGAAAGAGCCTATGGCGAAGTTTTACATATCTCCTGAACAAATGCATTCCTCAACCAAATTATAAAAAAAAAACTCTAACCTAAAACGCCAGCAAACCAAAACTACAACCCAAAAAACTCACAAAAATAACAAAACTTCAGTCAGACTTCAACAAAGACGAAAGGAGCGGCCGCAACTTCGCGAGCCACTCCTCAATCGCTGACCAGGTTCCATGAATCCAGCCAGAACCGACCACATGTTGGGAATGTGGCGCCGCTTGTTCCTGCCAAGAAGCAGACGCTTGTTATCCGGGCTAGATATCGCCATAATGACCGTGGGGTCCAGGCGAGGGTAGCAGGTGTTGTAGGCTCCACCTTGGGGCGAGTGGGTGGAAAATTTTGAATTTTTTTGATTACGCTGCTTTTGTTCAATGATATAGAATTAAAATAATGAAAACCGTCCAGTGAATAATGAATACAACACGATAAAAAAAAGAACATAGAACAACTGGAAACCGCACCCATACCGACCCTTGTTACTCTTGCAAGCGTCGTTGCGACAGCGCCTCTTGTAGCCCGCCTCTTCAGCCACCGAGGCAGAGCCACACGTCGAGCAGAACTGATTCCTGTCGTGCCAGGCCATCATCGAACGAGCCTGACACACAATTGCCGCTTCCGATCGCATCAAACTGGAGAACCCGAGTGGGAAGGGAAGCTTGGTGATCCCGGGTTCAATTGCATGCAGTTCCGTCGGAGATAATTTTGTTTCAACTGCAAACCAGCTTCTCCCGTGATGATATCCTCGCTGTTGGTGGCGGTGGTGGCGGTGGTAGTCATCGTCGTCCTCTTTGTGGTTTCTTCCTGACGTGGTGTCCACCTCATTCTGCTCTCTACCGAGGAATATATAATATTGTAATAAATTTGGAGATAGCTGCAGAGCTTGTTCATAGCTGAACCGAGCCAGTTTTGCCTTAACGTCAGAGAGCTGAGAATTAAAATTGAAAAAATCGTTAACTAATTTATTTTCATTAAGAGGGATAACAAGAGGGCAGAGTCCAGAGAGGACGACAAAAACAGACAACGGATCTGTGAGTGCCCCCTTCATCCAGACATCGTCCGAACGTTTTTTAGAAGACCTATCCAGTGGGTTATCACATAAGTAGTTGGTTCTTCTCTGCAGATTGACTTCCGGTTGGGAGGTGGATGATGAGAGGATGTTGACGACTTCCCCGTGGAGCCAGAATTCTGCCAGGTCCTGGGCGGTTTGACCCGTCGAATTCACTTTTAAAGGGTCAGAACTATAAAAAATTATATAGCAACTTGTTAATTTTTAAGAAAATCTATTATGACTCGAAAAGTTTGAGAAATTTGTGAGGTCAATTCACACAAAAACTTGTCTCTCTATTTTAAATTGTGAATGAAATTAAAAGTTAAATGTGTGAAGACCCTTTTCTGATGAGTTCTCTGACTACGTGTGACTGCCCATTCTTCGAGGCAAACATGAGAGCCGTCCAGCCTTTCCTGTCTGCTACATCCACATCCAGCACATCTTGTGATCAGAAACAAAAACAAATAAACCATCAAAATTTATATTAAACGTAATTAAATAAAACCATAAAAGAAGAAATTTAACATGAAAAAATGTTTGGAATCCAAATTTCTTTCACTGCACTTACTCAAAAGTAGTGTTAAAAATACACACACCATAAGCAAATACTATACATAGAAATTTTTTCCCATTCGTACAGTACATGGTCACCTTATAAATAAACTAGGCCGTTTTAAATTATACCCACCATCTTGATAATATAACAAAGAATAAAAATACTTTTTAAGCAGGCAGTTATTTCTTTTATGTTCCCAGTGGCAGCAGCGTAGAAATAATTATTAAAAATATCGTTTAGTTTATCTTTGCCCTCTTCTCCCATCCTCTTCAAAAACTTTTCAAAAGATTTCAAGGACTTTAAGAATGTCTGGCTTAAATAAAAAATTTATTATTATTAGTTTTTATTATTCAATATTATAGTTTTTCATTTATTTATTCATCGTAAAACGTAACTTAATATGTAAATAAATCACTTTTATAGACTGCTCACTAGATTAAAAATGGAAAGATTACAAATTGGTAAACGCAAATAAGATCAGCACATCATCATGAGAATACATTTTCCATAAATATCTATGAATAAATCTACTTTCTTTGGTTGATATTGTTCTCATTTATTTGTTTAATCCAAAACTGTATTGTATTATAATTACTATTATTTATTAAAATTAATTTGATTTTTTTAAACATAAAATAATATAAAAATATCCCATCTAATCGAAATTTACAAAAATTTACACATATTATATACAATACAATAAAATACAATACAATGCAATACAATACAATATAATTTATAATACAACCATCAGCTAACACTAACCAAATTAAGAAACGCATTCGAAGTACTTTTAACAAGCAAAAAGTAAATTTCAATTCGGCAGTTTATTTAAATTAAATTTATATACTGATAAAAAATGTTCATAAAATCTAAAATGAGCAAATGTCACTAAAAAACAAATTTTAAAAAATAATGAAACTATACTTCATAAATCTAACTAAGTGAATTATGACCCTTAAAAAATGAAAGTAAAGAATATATTTCCTGTATTTGTTTTGCATGAACTATAAACTACATCCAAATCTAATTCTAACTAATAGACTAAAGTACTAAACTAAACCTACCAGTTGCTGACAGATAAAAAAAAGAATAAAGAAAAGAATAAAAGATCAATCAGTACCAGGGTACAAAAATCAACAAAAAAAACGTAACAAATATTGATTGACAAGTTTAATGCAAGTTGGATATGCAAATATGAATAAATTATAATTATTATTTTACACGTTCAATAACGAAATTCCTAATCTGAATTAGTTTATTTTCGACTTAAAATGCCATGAGGAAGGTCATACAATACAAATCCGCTATATTTAATTTACCTTAACAAAATAAAAACAGCTAAAAGTGAACTTATGTTTAAAATTTCAGAACTTAGATTAAGTGTTAATTTAAATTAAAGTAAAACATTTTAGATTCCTTAATAATGTTGTTTTCTATACATAAATATATATATATATATATATATATATATATATATATATATATATATATATATATATATATATATATATATATAATTTGGTATGAGGTTTTCAGATAAACATGTTCGGTTGAAGATTACACCCCATTTTGCAGTTAGAAGTTTTTTAAATAAAATTTCAACAATACGAAGCTGTTTTGTTTAAACTTTATTAAACTGTGAAGTTTGGCTGACGGCCGTTTCGGCTAATGCCATCGTCGTAGCCTAGATTGTAAAACCAAATGAGGAGTTAATAATATAAATTATAAGAAATAGAAAATTAGATATTAGAATGAATAAATAAATGAATAACAACCTATATTTTAAAATTAACTCATTATATTGTTGAAAATAAACGAATAAATTTAAAAGAATGTAAAACCAAATGAGGAGTTAATGATATAAATTATAAGAAATAGAAAATAGAATATTAGATATTAAAATGAATAAATAAATGAATAACAACCTATATTTTATAATTAACTCATTATATTGTTGAAAATAAATGAATAAATTTAAAAGAAAAATTATGAGTAAAATCGTTTGCGTATTATCGTAGTTGAAGTGTACATGGCTAGCATAGTGACGAGAAGTAGTGCAAAAATTAAGGGAAGTCGATAATAATATTTAATGATATGACAGTTTATTGAAGAATTATTAGATATTTAACAATTGGATATAATATTATTTATCAATAAATATGTATAAAGAAATATTAAGGCGTGGCAAATAATGAAGTTAGTGAACAAATTGTTTGAGTTGTATGGCGTAAAGAGACAAACGGATTGTTGTTAATGGTGCGTTCTTGTGTGGTATATTCGTATTTATATTTGGTGTGTAGTTGCTGTTTATTGATGACGTTTGGCAATTGAGGCAGTACAACGTCGCGATATATAAAAGTTGTAAGACGTGGGCGAAATTGTCTGACTGCGTGTTGATTGTTGGTTTATTATTGAGGATGAGAATAGCTTCTTTTATTTTGAGTCTTGAGGGACGACGTTCATCACAAAGTATGCTAGTGTTATTATCAAGAATTTTTCGAGTAACTGGTATGTTGTGCTGCTTATTGAAGTGATCCTTGATAGCGCCTTGCTGCACATGCATGGTAAGGCGTCTGCGAAGTGTTGTACATGTGTGTCCAATATATGTTTCCACATCACGGTGTGGCAAAGGGCATCGAAATTGGTACACGACGTTGGTACTATCTAGATTATCTTTTGTAGTGGTTGGACTGTTTTTGATGACTAATTGTTGTGTTTTTGTTGTATCATAATATATTATTAACTTAATCTTTTTATTTTCATCTTCTGATGTGAGATTTGATCTAATGATTTGTTTAATTTGTTTTTCATCAATTACATAGTTAAACTTATTAAACTTCACAGTTTAATAAAGTTGAAACAAAAAAGATTCGTGTTGTTGAAATTTTATTTAAAAAACTTCTAACTGCAAAATGGGGTGTAATCTTCAACCGAACATATATATATATATATATATATATATATATATATATATATATATATATATATATATATATATATATATATATATATATATATATATATATATATATATATATATATATATATATATATATATATATATATATATATATATATATATATATATATATATATATATATATATATATATATATATATATATATATATATATATATATATATATATATATATATATATATATAAATATATTTTTTTAA